TTTTTTTTCTGTCTTAATTTATTTATTCTATACTGACGCTTTGACTTTTCTCTTTTTTATTAGACGCCTGGTCTTTGGACACTTTGGGATTCAGTGGGTGGGTTTCCTTATTATTATTTCTTTTTTTTTTACAATAATGAAACGTTTATTAACATTTCAAAATTTCTTTTTTCATAGACAGGTCTGAACATGTGAAATTGACCTTTTTTTTTGGTAAATCTTTTGGTGCATGGAATTTCAATGGGATCCGATTAGATATACCATAATAGATTTGTATAGTTTTATTAGTATAACTTAGTATAGATTTAGCATCGATGTATTTGATTGATATAATAAAAGTGAACCACATTTAACAATAAAGTAATTTAACATTATCTAACAATAAATAATGTAATGTTATTTAATACAATAAATAATCTAACGTTGTTTTACTGTAAGATAATAATCGTTAGTGATGATAGTTGTTAATTTAATCATATCGTTAATAATCGACGAGTGCGATTATTATCGATATATATCACATTTTATAAATAATGGGATATATATCGATAAAGTGATATATATCGCTATATATCACCTGTAAAAATTTCCCGATGTATACTGATATACCCTTTGCCCGATAATGATTACCTGACAAGACATATTCCTGAATGAACACTTTACCGACATGACACATTCCCTAATGGACATTATACTGACATGCTATTTTTCCCGACATGACATTATCCCGACAACACATATCCCGACAGACATTTTCCTGATTAAAAAAAAGTGATTTCCCAATTATTTAAGATAAAATATATGGAGAAAATTTTTATTATTTGTTTATTCACATTTATTTTAATAAAAATTCGCAATTTCATGTATACTGTATATTTCATTTTTATAGTGCAAATTTTTATAACAAAATCACTAGCAGCAACCCATTGCGTACCTAGAAAAATTTATTTTAGTTGCAAAAAATGGATAAGTGAAAAATTCCAAAAATCTGAAAATCTGTAAATTTTGAAGTAAAGATAAAAAAAAGTATAAATAAAGCCAATCAAATTTCTTCCCATAATCACATAATAAATTATTTATAAAACAATTCCTAAAATTAAAAGATCGTTATTATTATGCAGTTTCTATTTCATAAGACAAAAATACTGGTTTCCCTTTATGAAAATCTTTTATTATCAGATTTCATATGAATTCAATTAATCATTGTGGAAAAAATTAACTTTATAGTAATGAAATTATCTATTTTTAAATAAAGCTATTAATTATTTCATTTAAAACAGTTTTTTCAATGATTTAACATTTTTTATATCATATAATTCAAAATTTTACAATATCTAAATAATTAAATAAATTGTTTCCTTACAAATTTAATCTTTTTTGAAATTTTTGGTTGTGGTAGTATGTAAGAAAATTATATTTATATTTATAAACATGATACATTATTACAGCAGTAATAAATTACTTTTCGTAATCATTTTCAACATGTCAGGAAAATGTCTGTCAGGATATATGTTGTTGGGATAATGTTATGTCAGGAAAACTAGAATGTTGGTATAATGTCCATTAGGGAATGTGTCATGTCAGTAAAATGTTCATTTGGGAATATGTCCTTTACTAAAAATGGCCAATTTTTTGAAATGATTTTGTAATAATTTTAAAATACTACAAAAATACATTTAATACATCAAAATGTTTTTATTATATTTTTGCTATTATTTTGTAATTGTATTGTATCTAGGTCTATAAAAATAACTCAAAATAATATCACAATAATTTTTTAATGTTTTTGTTATTATTTTATTATTATAATATAATTAACTTTTATATTATTTTAATATTTTAATTTTAAAAATATCTTAAATATATCTTGATATATTTTAAAAATTTTACAAAATAATTGCACAATTGTTTTGAAAGCCATTGTATCTAGGTCTATAAAAATATTTCAAAAAATTGGTTATTTTTAGTAAAGTCTTGTCAGGTAATCGTTGTCAGGTAAAGAGTATGTCAGAAAAAAGGTTGTCAGGAAGTTGTCCGACATTGTTTATTCTTACTTTAAAACTGTTGATAATACCAGCATCTAAAGGTTGCAAGTGAGAAGTTGTATTTGGAAAAAGAAAATGTACTTTAATATTTAATAATTGTATAGTTTCATCGATTAAATGTGTGGGTGCATTATCCACTAATAATAAAATATTGTGATTTTGTCATCTCATTAATTGATTAAGTTTATTAAGATAATTACACCATACTGATACTTGCATCCAAGCTGTATGGTTCCAATAATACCAAATGGGTAAATCATCCTTTTTAATTCCCTTTAAAACACGTGGAGTCTGCCACTTGTGTATTACTAATGCAGGTAACTTATGACTACTATCAGCATTACAGGTTAAAACAATTGTAATCTGATTTTTTGATTTTTTAGTGCCAGAAATATAATGATCTGAAAGTGTCTTGGATGATTCTAAATTCCAAAATAAAGCTAAAAAGTACAAAATTATTGCAATTAATAATGATAATAATAATGATATTTTGTGTAACTCCAATTGTATTTACCTGTTTCATCAACATTATAGACGTCACAAAGATCATATTGTTCAATAATTTCTTGCAAAGCCACACGTTCTTCTTCTAATGTTTCTAATGGTGCACTGTTCGCTTCACTAGCTTTAATAAATTGTCTTATATTATAATGCTTTTTAAACTTTGATAACCACCCATCTGAAGCAGTAAAAGTTGTTGTTTGTAATTGAGTCACAAAATTCAAAGCTTTAGCCTTTAATATGTCACCCGTAATTGTTAAATTTGAAGCTAATGCTTGCTGCATCCATAAATATAATGCAGATTCAATTTCTAGAAATTTTGCACCTCTATCCCTTTTTTGATTACTTAATTCTTTATTTGCAATATTAATACACAGCTATTTTTCCTTTTCTTTTAGTATTCTAGAAACTTGCGGTTTTGATATATCATATTTTTTAGCAAGATCATTTTGATTATATGATGGATTATCCCTTTTCCACTCACATAATTCTTTTTTTTGCACAAATGACAAACTTTTTCTTTTACTAGCTTTTTTTACTTCTTTTCCTTTGCCTTTCCAACGGGTGGCATTTTAAAGAACAACGAAAAAAAGTTGTATTACAATAATAGGCATTTATCATTAAAAAAAAAGGAAATTAAACTAACTACATGTGTTTAAAAATGATTTGCAAATGCAAATCTAATGATTTCACGTGATATTTACTATAACGAGAATATATTTATAATATATGTTCTATAGTAAAATTCTAAAAAAGTTTACTATATCTGATATCAAGATTTTATTAGTAAGTTTACTATAACGAACAAGATTTATTAGTAAGTGAACCGGGGGAATAAAAAAAGTTTATTATAAGCCAAATTTACTATAACGAGCTTTACTATAACGAGCGTTGACTGTACTGTACTGTACCTTAATTGTATAATAAATCTTTATAGATACAGTAGACATATCAAAGGACATGGCTAAAAACTTGTTAATCTTATCAAATTTGAGTCGATTACAAAAAAAAAAAATTTTTATAATTATTCTTAGATATTGTAGATAATGCAAAGACTCAATAAATAGATAAATTTTAATTACTAGTATTATGTAAACATAGTTGACCAAAACTTTCATATTCCCACCCACAGTTGATGATCCCTTAAAAGTTGAAATCATATACTGTCAATCTTGCTTGCTAAAGATTAAGAAGTAAAAAATTAACTACCAAAATGTGAAACGCAACTTTTGATTTTTTAGACGTAAAAAATATACAATATTTTAAACTTATTCCATTTCTTTTTATAACAAAAAAGTTAAAAAACGACAAAAGAAAAAAAGGAATGCAAGTGTTATAAAAGCACTATTTTCTCCTTAAATATAAAAATAGACTTGAAGAGTAAAAATATACACGCAGAGCCATTTATAATCCAGAGAGCATTCAATTGTAGAAAGATGCTAAAGTTTTTCTTCTGGCTTTTAACTTAGAACAGTTTTATAGTGGCTAATAACTATAAGGCAATGAAAATTGTATTACAGCTAATAACTACAGTATAAGGCAATGAAAATTGTATTACAACTTTCAATTATTAATTTTATTTTTTTTATTTTTGTCACAACTTGCAGAGTCAAAAGAAAGTGGGGAACCTCCAATTACTATTCAATATAAAGAAGAAATCGAAACTATTTTCGATAAAATAGTCCCATGTTTAATCTAAAATTCCATATTAACGGACTCTTCTGAATCTTCATCAAGGAAGAAAGTAGATCTTAATATCTAAGGAGCTCTGGGGAAGAACCCAAATAAAAACTCCACATATGATTCCTAAAATTAGTAGAAGACATGGAAATGATGATGAAGATGCTAACCTAGATGTACAGAGTATGTAGGTTCAAAATTGGATTGAACAGCAAGAAGTTAGATAAATATAACTTGATAAAAGAAAGAGAACCTCCATATGAAGCAGCAATCTGATGTGGTGCTGTGTAGTATTTTGAGTAATCTCTCAAACAGTTTAAATTCTTTAAATACAAAATAAAATCAAGTTCAGTTTTTCAAAATTCTGATATATGCATGCATGCATATACACATATATTTAAACACTAACGTGTAGCATAATAGCATATGTAATTTTCATTTCAATTTACAGACCTGAACAATTAATAATGTATTTCTTTTTGTAATTCTTCCTGTATCAATTATTTTATACTGAAATTTTCTAGTATTGTTGACTTTTCATATTTCTTTGATTCCATTTATAAAAATTATAATCATAAATAAAAACTTAATAATAATATTTATTTGAGCTTAAAGTACTTTTATAAATATATTGAATGTAAAACAGATTTTTTTTCTTGTAGACTATTAAATGTAGCTACACGTGATCATCTAAAAAGAAAATTTGTCAGTACCAAAAAGGGTTCTATCATAGTATATTCAGAGGCCCTCCTTACCGGTACAAAATCCACTAATCTGAGACAATATTTATTTACGGAGAATATTTTTTTTTTACAATAACCTTGATTACATGTGCACTCCTATATGTTATAAATTATCAGGAACTAAAAAAATATAGAGAGAGAGATAAATAATCAGAAATGAAATAAGTAAACTATATAAAGAAAAATCAAGAACTTACTGAATAAACTTCCAAAACCATCATTGCTAATAACTGCGGAATTTTATTGCCAATTAAATAATTAGTATTGTTTAAATAAGTACTAATTAGTTGCAAAAATATTATAATCATATTACCTGAACTAATATTATTATTTGTCTGTTCATTATTGGAATCTAAAATCAAAAACAGATTAACAACAAATTTCTTTATTCTTTTACTTACTTTCTTTGTCTTTTGATAAAAAAAATTCTTATTTTTCATTATATTAATGACATTATCATCATAACTAGTATCTTGAATACCTGACATTTTTCCTAATTTGGTAAAAATTTTATTAATAGGTGTTCTTACATCTGGGTCAGGATTCCAACATAATTTATATAATTTCAGGTATTCTTCAGGGGTCTGGTTCATTTTACCGACAATTACTTCACTGACAAACGTTTTACCGACAAACGTTTTACCAACAGGGTTATTTCACCGACAAACGTTTCACCAACAATCATTTCACTGACATAAAAAATAAATATTGAATATGAGATATTTTATTATAAAACTTTTTTTATTTAGTTTAGATTTAATAAGTATTGATACTTTACTTTCATCTTAGACGGGTTAGTATATAGAATAACATATAGTTATAACTATTATATATTTTTTATTTTTTTATAAATGTTATTATAAATTTCATTAAAATAATAAAAACTAACAAATATATATATATAATAAACTTTTTAGTTTTTGATCACAACAAAACATTAATACATTAAAACAATAAAAAGATATTATTGGGCGTTTTTTATAAAACTAGTAACGATTTTGTTGATCATTTGTTGATCATTTATTTTAAATTTATTATAAATTTTGTCACGAGATTTTCTATGGAAATCATTTCTCAATCTGTTATTAAAACACCTGCTGAATTGCCTTGAAATTGAAAATCATTTCCCTTTTTATAAAAAAATTTCCTTTTTGGTAAAAAACTCTCAGATTAATCTTATATAACTTTATGTCAATGACAATGTCAATG